ATACATCTTAGATACACAGCATCATGAATACCACTGCTGCTCCGTCTACTTCTACTACGCCCACCATCCCCTCCGCCAGCGGGAGCATCAACTAACACACACGGTTCACCGCGGTGCCAGGCGCTCAGGGCTTGCCACACACTTGCTCATTTAATTCTCACAACAACTCTATGGGGTGCTGTTATCCTCCCCATTTTACAGATGAGAAACTGAGGCACAGAGAGTGGGAGCATACAGGATTAAGAGACACAAACTGTATATAATAGGTAAGTGACAAGGAGACACTGCATAGCACAGGGAATTAGAACCATTATCTTGTAATAATTTTTAATGGAGTACCATCTGTAAAAACATTTAATCATTATGCTATATACCTGAAATTAATGTAAGATTGTAAATCAACTCGACTTCAATTAAAAAAAAAAAAGAAGTCGCAGACCCGGGATGTGAACTCTGGAAGTTTGGCTGCATAAACTACACCCTGAACTGGGATGTTATTCCACTTTACAGCACAAATGATGACCCTGAGCCATCAGGAGAAGGTTAAATTATGCTTAGGCTTAGGTGTATAACACATGTTAAAAAAACAACATGGTACGTCTCAGGAAGACTTCCAGCAAAGACACACACCTGCACACGTGTGCGCGCACGCACACACACACACACACACACACACACAGTCCTTGCTTTGCACAGAAATGAAGGACCGTAAAAGTGACCATGCAAGTGAAACTGAACAGTCACTTTGACAACCCAAGGGAAAATCATGACATTTACAAATTTATGTCAAAACATTAAAACTCTTATTGTGGGTTATGCATGGACAGAGAAATGGAAAACAGTAAAATGAGTATTTAGCAAACTAATTTAAAACCTTAGAAATATGGCATTAACATTTTTTTCTGGTAAAAAAATGTATCAAGAATATTGGGACAGCACTTGCCTTCTCCTTCTCATCAAATAGCCGAGGACACAGAACAAGCGCCTTTTCTATGCCTTGGCAAAATTCCAACATTTTATCCTCTGCCCTTTCAGTGTTGTGAAATCTCCCAGAGTTCCTACAATGTGAAGTTCTTTTTCTTTGCTGGTGTCGCTTCCTCTAAGACATCTTCATCCTTGTCTTCACAACCATTTTCTTCATTATGTCGGTAAGTTAGCCTTCACTAACTGCCTCTGGCTGTAAATCTAGAGTCCACTCCCTTTTGGCCACTCTGTGATGCTACATCTTTCTTCACTGAATCTCTTGATACGGTTGTCTTCCAAAAAAAGATCAGTCTCATCAGCAGAAAATACTTGCAGTCATCATAACCTCCTGCTAACTTAACTCATCTTTGGAACCTGGGTGCAGATTTCACAGCCCTGCCCTGATCTGCCCTGGCAGCACCACCAAGCGCACTCAACAATCATCAACTCACGCTAATTTCTGAAATGATGAAACCAGCCTTTCCTGGCAGTAAAAGGTTCTTCTCCAGTTTCCTCATAATTATCATTTTCTTCCCAATGCACCAACTAACTTCAACACTTTGGTCTCAACTCTAGGCAAATCGATTGGGATTTTTTTTTATTATAGTCTTCAATTCAAATAAACGCTCAAATTCAACCATAAGCGGCCTCACATTCCTAGTGCAATTGAAACTAAAACAGGTTGAGCTGACTGCAGCTTGTTTTTTATATTTGTCAAGCCTTTTCCGTGTGGTTTATTTTGTGGTCTCATGCAGGATGTTGCCCCTTTCAAATCTTCTAAACACATCCAATTTCACTTCCTGTGTTGTTACTTTTTGTTTCTTTGCTACACTTTCATCTTTGGTGGCCAATTTCCTCTCCTGATTATTTTTGTAGTATGTTGTGCGGGTTTATCACTGGGAGACAAGGAGGCATCACAGCCATGCGCTTTGCTGTCTGTAAATGGGACAAAAGATGCCCAGTGACCAATTACCAACACATTTTGGGAGAAGCAATGTGATTGGCCACTGATCATACTATGCATCTGTTATTTACATAGTGATTTGTGGGCTGAAGAGCTAGCAGCAAAGTCTGTACTTTGTGCGATGATCCACAGCTAGTATACCATGGTGTTACGGGCCAAATGGTGGCCCTGCAAAAGTCTTGCATTGAGGTCCTAACCTCCGGCTTCCAGTACCTCAGAATGTGACTGTATTTGGAGACAGGGCCTTTTAAGAGGTTAGTTAAGGTAAAATGGGGACATTAGGTGGACCCTAATCTAACAGGACTGATGTTCTTATGAGATGAGGGCACAGACACATAACCCTGCCAATACCTTGGCCTCAGACTTCCAGCCTCCAGAACTGTGAGAAAATACATTTCTGTTATTTAAGCCACCCGGTCTGTGGTGTCCTGTCATGGCAGCCCTAGAAATCTAACATGTGTGGTAACTGAAGTCTGTTACTGGGGGACGAATGTTGTTTCACTGTGTCGTGGTAATGGAAATTTGTACGGATTGCAAAGGCGCACAGCAAAGACTGCCTGTGTGTATAGAAAACATTCTTTTGAATGAGTGGTGGCAACCTTTATCCTTCCTGCCACCCTCGAGTGCAGGGAAACCGCCCTGCCCATGGCACGTCCTGCCTGGCAGCTCTGCTGTAGATCAGGCAACGTCTCCCTGCCGTGGTCTCGCTGGTGGGTCTAGGAGTGGGTCCCAGTTCTCAGGATGGCCTGTCTCTGGGTTTGTGCAGGGCCTGGCCTGAGGGTCTCATCAGCAGAAGTGGGAGCGACAGTCTGAGTTCGTTCACTTCTCTTAGGAATTTGAACTGCAAGTGGGAAAGACTATGTCCCTGTTGGTGTGGGAGCTGAAGTTGAGTGAAGGTCATAAGGTAGCACGTAAGCCAGAGATGTTATGAGCACAAACCATGAACAGACAGAGGAAACGAGACACGCAGAGAATGCTGTGTCAAGGAAGAAGAGCAGCTGGTCCCAGGGAGGCTGTAATTCCATATACACAACACACACAAGTATCTGGTTAGGCTTATCTACCCACACATATGAACACACACACATATATGTACACACGTGCATATATACACACATACACACACATTACTAGAGTGTCAGGAGAGGAACGCCTGGCTCCAGTTACAGTGGAGAAGCCAACCGGGAAATGTACAGAAATTTCTGGTTTAGATTCACCCACGTTATATCTATATGGTGCTTCTAAGCAGACATCAGCTTATTCGTCAAATAGGACTGTCCTGCTTTATTGGATGCCAAGTCAATAAAGCTAAAAATTCTCAATGAAATTTTGAGCCCTGATTAGCTAAGTGCTGCACCCTTATGTTGCAAACACAATTTGCAACGCAATGAGCTTCAAGATGAACCTCTAGTTTTAAAGCCCCCCAAGCGAGAACAGAGGTAACTGTGACCAGCTGTTATGAGTAAACACACTTCTCGCTCTTCTGGCCTTGCGTGGTTTCCATCGCTTCTTGGTACCCTAAGCCGAAGACAGGCAGTTTTGCTTGGAATCCCTAGCTGAAATCAACCCAGGCAAGGTCAACAGAGACAGGCCAGCAATCTGCATGCGGCAGACAAACATGCGGACTGGCTCTAACAGGCAGTGGCATTCCTATGTAGAAAACGCCCCCTAAAACGCATTCCAGAAACAAGAGCTTCTAGGGGGAATTTTAGACGGCACACACCTGACTGAATCTGAAGGAAGCCACAGGTTCCCTCAGTCAGCCTCCGCTTGAGACTCTGCCCCCAGGGTGACCTTCTGCTCTTTCCGCCTGGCTCTGTCCCAGCAGTCCCTCGTGCTGCCCAGCATCTCGATGCTGGTTATGCTTGTGATTGGAACTACATAATTCAATTAGGTATGACATCCAATTAAGTATAATTGTGGAAAGAAAGAGTTCTTATTTCTGCAAATAGTGAGTACAATGTAAAAGCCCGTAAACGTTGAGTTGCTTAAGAAGAAAATAAAACACTGTTGAATTTGGCAGGGGCTAGACTCCTATAATTTGGGAGGAGTCTGCCCTCAGTGTGTTGTGTTAGAATCAGGATTCTACCGGGAGGAGGGTCCAGCTCAGTGGTAGAGTGTGTCCTTAGTATGTGCAAGGTGCTGGGGTTCGATCCCCAACACCGCCATTAAATAAATAAAACTAATTACTCCCCTCCTCCAACCAAAAAAAAAAAACCAAAAAGGTTTCTCCTTCAGGTGATGGATGAGTGAGTTAGCTAGTCGCGGGGAACCCTTTCACAATGTATACATGTATCACAGCAACACAATGTACACTTTAAATCTTACACTGTTGTCAACTACACCTCAATAAAGCTAAAAAAAAAAGATTCTCACTTTAAAAAAATATCAAACCTGGAAATCCTAAGTGATACATAGTGGATGTCACTTATGCAAGACAGACAACAGAAGGGGGAGGGTAGCTCCGTGGCAGAGCGCATGCTTAGCATGCCCGAGGTCCTGTGTTCAATCCCCAGTGCCTCCTCTAAGAACAAGTAAACCGAATCCCACTCCCGTGAGGGGGGAGGGTTAAAAAAAAAGGGACAGAGGATGGTGTTCTAGTGAGCCGACTCGGAGAAAGCCCAGCCTTACATCAGAGCTGTGGCAAACAGACAGCCCTTTTGTTTTTCATTGAAGTTTCCACCTGCATACAAGCGATGTATCATTTCCTCACTTGAACGAGTTATTTTCATCAACGGACCTGCTGCTCGTTATGATTATTTCGGTTAAGGCGTCTTCTGCAGAAGAGGGTCACAAGGGAAGTCGCTGGCTCGTTCTGTTCCGTCGCCCAGTCCTTTTCTCCCCCTGCAGTCAGGCTTCCCGGCTGCAGCCCGCGTCCTCTCAGCTACGCCGCACTGGTCAGATGATTCTTCTCTTCTCCTCTGTGCATCAGCTCGTGTCTCCCCTGGAGTCTAGGCAGCTCCAGGACCTGCTCTTCCCCCTTCGAACTTGCCTTACTGCCTGGTAGAACGCGAACCCGCCGAGCACACCAGGGTCCCAGGCCCGGGGCTCCGCAGAGCACGCCCCACGTGCTCCCGCCTTAGTGAGCGCTCACGCTGCCCTCGCCCGGCGTGTCTCGCCCACACCCTTGTGCCCGAGCTTGTCTCACGTTTCAGTCACCCCTCCGCTCAGAATCGTCCCCAGTCGTGACAGGTCATTTCTTTCTTTTCTTTCTGACAGAGACCATGCCTCATTTTTCTCAGTTTCCCTACAATACTGAGCACAGTATTCGGGTGGGGGCAAGCTAGGGAGTATGAATACAACTGAATACAAATTCAGCTTCTAGACAGAGCTCCCTCGGAAAACGCCCCTTAGGTTTACGCCTGTTCACTGAATGCTAGCACTGCGTTCAAGTGTATTTACTCGCGATCTTCCCTACATCGCCCTCTAGTGTTCATCCCGCTTCTCACCGGCCCTTCCCACGGATACACGAGACTCTGCGTCCTGACTACACAGTAGTTTCCTTAGCAACCAGGACACTAATATTTTTTAAGTTGCCCAAAGCTGGGGGTATAGCTTAGTGGTAGAGTGCATGCTTAGCATGCACAAGGTCTTGAGTTCAATCCCCAGTACTGCAACCAAAAAAAAAAAAAAAAGCCAGTTATCTCCCCCACCCCCGCCAAATAAAAGCTGCTCAAAGCTTCCTATATCCCATATCCATTAATCTCTTCTAAAACCTACTTTCTCTACTTCTTCCGTGGCTCCTTATTTAAAATCTCTCCTTCCTATTAACACTATGGTCTTGGGATTTCCTGCCTTTCGCCCTACATTTTCCTTCTCTTAAGTAAAGATCCCCCAAGTTTTTCCTAGGCCCTCTTCTTTTTCATTCTCACCGATTTGTAAACATGCTATTGATTTCAGTCAATTGCCCCTTCTGAGTACACAGCGGGCACCACTAATCATCCTGACGTCCAGATCAGCAACAGGTGCGATGACTCTTACTGAGCCCAGGAGGACTTGCTGCTGGAGAACTGCAAAACCACTTTCCTCGAGGGCACGTGAGCCATACCCCGGGGAAGGCTACGAGCCCCACCACTCCTAGACGGGGTTCCTTCTGCCACGCGGCCTGGGCACAGCCTCAACACCCTCCGCGTGCTTGCTAAGCGGCCCCTAACTATTGATGGCCGTTACCTGTGAGGGGTCCCATCCCCTATTCTGCATGTAGAATGTTCCACAGAGATCTAAATTGCCCCAGCTTCAAGTGTGACCTCTATGCACCCAGTTTCAGATAGTCTCGCTGTCACCTGGCCTTCTCTTTGGAGTTACCAATCAGGATTTCATAGCCTTCCAAATGTCCCAAATTAAATTTGCTGTTTTTCTCCCAACAGAACGAATATTTCTCTCTGGACCCTTCAATTTCATCTAAAGGCAGCATCACCCCCCACCCCGACTCCGCCCCCAATCATTCAGGCTAGAAACCTTTAAAATCATCCATTTCCCTTCTTACATTTCATGTCCTGTCAGTCACCACGGTTTACCTCTAAAATAGTTCGTCACCAATCTGTCCCCTTGCCCCTCAGGTCTCCTCTTCACAGGGTCAGATACAGCGGCCTCCCTTAGAGGTCTCCCTTTCCTCTCTCCGGAGGCCCCTAAATTCATCCTTTATAATGCAAATGGTTGTCTTCTCTCCACTTAAAACGAAGGACACATCATTCATTCTCAGATTTCAAAAATGTTCAGGCTCTCCATTCTTCCCAGAGAAGAGAATAAAGCCCAGATTCTTTGGTGACGCGCAGCCTCCAGGGCGTGGCTCCACCCTGGTCTTTCTTGTCCACCGTGGTCCCTATAAAAACGCTAGGCTCCCAGCACACAGGGTCACAGTCGCAGGAGTCACGTTTCCATGCCTCCCTGTGGTCTCCTCGGACCGGCGTCCCGCTCCTCCTGCTCCCTCTTTCCTGGCCAAATCATGCTCATCTTCTAAGAGATGGCTACAGTGCCATTCCATTCCTAATGCTGTACCCGAGCCCTCTGTCCCCTGTACCTTCACCATTTATTACAGGTACCCTTATTCACCGGTTTACTTCATTCTGCTTGGTGAGAGTTTTGGCTTTGTCTTAGAATATGTCTGAATCTCCTATCTGTCTACAATCTCTTTTGGAATTAAAAAAAAATCATTTTAATGAAAACAGCCTCCCAAGGCATTTAGATTGATGCCTTGCTCACCAGTGGGACCCCGAAATCTTGCTGAAATCAAATGAGGTCTTTATTGTTTACTCCTTCGTTCTCTCCAAATGACAGGGTTTACCGAGGAAGTACATTCTAAGGTCTGGCTTAAACGGTTACCGTTCGAGGGAGGGTTACAGGATTATGCAGTGGATTAAACTAAACCAGGTGGCTGGGGAGAAATGAAGATTTCTCGGTTTTGTTTGCCCTGCTCCAGCCCACCTCTTTCCACTGCCTCTATTTTATCTGGTAATTATACAACCTTCTGTCTCGCTCCAGCTTTGGGAGTTCTTTTTTAAAGTTAAAAAAAGAAGAAAGATTTAAATAAGATATTCAACCCCACTGGCAGAGAGGACCCTCTAACCTAGATGAGCCATGAAAATCAACACCCCGTACTCAGCTCAGAGGCAGAGCCACGCGAACCCCTCAAGTGAGCAGGTAGGGAGGCGCAAGGAGGGGCCCCAGCCTCCCTAGAAACAAGGCAGTAAGAAGGGTGGCGAGACTGACCTGCTTCCCCCAAAGCCCCCGGAGCCAGCTGCTCCGCAGAATTCAGCCCACAAAGGAGGCCTCTCTCTGCGTGGCAGGCCTAACAGTCTTCCCGAGGCGCGTCGGGGCCGTCCTGAGGTTCCCGAGCGGCAAGCCCTGCCAGGGTCATCCGCAGATTCCCCTGCTGTGGCTTTCACCTGCGCCCCCGCACCTTTCCAAGAAGCGGCCAAATTCACAAGCCAGGGGGAGGTCAGCTCAGTGGGCAGAGGGGCTGTGAACTGGGAGGTGATTCATTTGTCTTTTACCAAAGTCCATAGTGCCCCAGACTTGCACTAAAGTGCATTTTCAAAATCTAAGGACAATACATTGAACATTCAGTTATTTTAAAAATATTACCTGCCATGTGTTAAATGCAAAATCCAAAAACCACCCTCCAGGCCTGTGAGGCTTAGTTCCTCATCTGGAAAATGGGAGAAGTAACATCTATTCCAAGGTTTTGAGGGGATGAAAATCTGATATGTGTGTACAATACCCAGCCTAGCGCTGTCTGCTACAGAGAAAGGAGAGGTTAGTATGGGACTTGCGAGAAAGGGTCTGACTTGGCTCAAGGAAAGTCCTGAACCAACTTGATGACATTTTAAAAAGCACCAACTATATAACAGGAGCAAAGTGAAAAGCCATCTTTATTTTTTAAATATTTTTTATTGGAGTGTAACTGACATATAACAAATTGGTTTCAAGGTCTTACATGCTGCCCATTTGTTAGATGGCTTGGGGTATTTCTGCTTTTTCTTTTTCGTAAGTTCTTTATATATTTTGGATACTGACCAATATATTTTGGATCTGACATATAATTTGTGTGCAACATGATTCAACATATTTATACATTCCAAACTGATCATCACAGTAAGTCCTTTTACCATCCATCACCATACAAAGTGAACTTTTAGGATTTATTCTCTTGGCAACTTTCAGATATGCTCTATACAATCACTGACTGCAGTCACCATGCTTACAGTCCATCCCCATGACTTAGTTATTTTATAACGGCAAGTCTGTACTTCTTGACTCCCTTCACCCATTTTGCCCACTTCCCAACTCCCCTTCCCTCTTGCAATCATTCTGTTCTCTGTATCTATGATTTTGGTTTTGCTTTGTTTGTTCATTTATTTTGTTTTTAAATTCCACATATAAGTGAAACCATATGGTGTGTCTTTCTCTGTCGGATTTATTTCATTTAGCATCACGCCCGCAAGGTCCATTCATGTTGCTGCAAATAGCAAGATTTCATTCTTTTTTATAGCTAAGTAGTATTCCATTGTGTATATCCACCACATTTTCTTTATCCATTCATCCACTGACAGACATACTTAGGTTGTTTCTGTATCTTGGCTATTGTAAATAATGCTACAATGAACACAGAGATGAATGTATCTTTTTGAGAGCGCCGAATCCTAACCACTAGACCACCAGGGATGAATGTATCTTTTTGAGATAGTGATTTTTGTTTCCTTCAGATAAATACTCAGAAGTAGAATGGCTAGATCATATGGTAGCTCTAGTTTTAATTTTCTGAGAAATTTCCATACTGTTTTCCATAGTGGTTGCACCAATTTACATTCCCACCAACAGTGTAGGACAGTCCCTTTTTCTCCACATCCTCACCAACACTTATTTCTTGTCTTTTTGAGAATAGCCATTCTCACAAGTAGAGGTGATCTCTTGGTGATACTGATTTGCATTTGCTTTATGATTAATGATGCTGAGCATCTTTTCATGTCCTGTTAGCCGTGTGTATGTCTTGTTTGGAAAAATATCTATTCAGATTTTCTGCCCATTTCTTAATCAAACTGTGTGGGGGGTTTTTTTCTGTCTATTTTTTATAAGTTCTTTATATATTTTGGATATTGATCCCTTATCTGATGTATGTATTTACAAATATTTCCTCCCACTCAGTGGGTTGTCTTTTCATTCTGTTGATGGTTTCCTTTGCTGTGCAGAAGCATCTTAATTGGATGTAGTCCCAGTTGTTTATTTTTGTTTTTGTTGCCTTTGCTTTTGAAGTCAGACTGAAGATTCATCACCAAGACCGATGTCAAGCACTTCTACTGCCTGTTTTCTTCTAGGAGTTTTATGGTTTCAGATGTTTACATTCAAGTTTTGGATCTATTTTGAGTTCATCTGTGTTTATGGTATAAGACAGTGATTTTGTTTTATTCTTTTGTTGTCCAGTTGTCCCAACACCATTTATTGAAGAGACCTTCCTTTCCTCACTGCATATTCTTGCCTCTTGTGTTGTAAACTAATCGACCGTGTGTGCACGGGATTATTTCTGGGTCCTCTATTTTGTTTCATTGATCTGTGTATCTGTTTTTATACCAGTATCATAATGTTTCAATTACTGTAGCTTTGTGACAGTTAGAAGCAGGGACAGTGATGCCTCCAGATTTGCGCTTCTTTCTCAAG